GATGGGATGGTGTTACAAAAATGTGGAGAAAGATAAGAGGACTCAAGCTTGAAAATGACCCTGGAATAAGCTGGACTGAGGCCAAAAATGATATTTATGTACTCTTCTAGCAACCAATTAAACCAGATGATTGGTGAGGTCCGAGCTGAATTGCGTGGATTGAAAGCGAAAGTTATCAACTTAAAGAAAACCTTTAAGTTTCCGGAATTGATAGTTTGTTCAGATTACTAGAAGTGGATGAGAGCTGAAGAGAGGAAAATCAACAAGAATTGGTAATGGTACGCAACTTACCAGCTTGTGCATGACAAGGCTTTCTGCGGGCTTTGGGCAACACAGCGGGTTATCCCAAATTGAGTTCTCCTCTAAACAATTTGTATCAGATTAGTGACTAATGACAAAGAATATCTTACTGCGTTCTTCAACAGCAACTGCACTGAGAGGAGCCAAATCTAGTGTGCAAGCTGAAAATGGCGCAATTTGTCCTAGCCTTCAGCAGCTCCATTTTAATGTCTTTAATCATCTGTTTCTCACTCTCTCTATCCCTGTTGAATCCATATCTTTTCCCCTCGGTCAATGAACTAGGACTAAAAATTGTGAGTTCTGTTGCCACGTTGTTCTTTTCTTTTTTCTTCTCTTCGAAGTTTGAGAGATTATTAGTGAAACCAGAAGCGAAGTAAAGTACTATAAACTCAAAAAGCTCAGAGTTTCTATGGCTTGTCGAAGCCTTGTAGAATATAAATGTTGTTCTCAGTAACTCAGTTGTATAATTTTGTCTTAACATGTGAGAGTTCTTGTTTGCTGCAGTCATATAATAAAGCATGAAAATGAAACGAAAAGAGCAATTACTCTGTTGAATCTATTTTTTTCCTTGCACTACAAGCTGGTTAAGATTAATGCATGGTTGCCATGTCTTACGTCTACATTTATGAGCTACTTCACATCGGTGCTCCTAAACCGTTGTTGAATGTTGCAATGTGGTGATTATACAAATTAATTATTTTATCTTAAACAAAGAAGATAGTTTAGAGCAAATAGAAGGTTGATCCCACAATAAATATCTAGTTCAAGTTTTTATGCTAAATAATTCAAAGTTGGGGGTTTTGAAGTTATTTAGGTTATGCTATGGTAAACAGAAGAAAACAATCAAGATAAATTAAATAAATTCAAAACTTATCTAGAGAAAAACTTTATTCTCAAGTAAATATCCAGCTATAAAAATTAAAGTCGATCACTGAAATGATACGTCAATTTATATTCTGAATATCTATCTTTCCATAACATTAATCAGTTAACCTATCCGCAGTGTAACTAATCATAACCATTAAACAACCACAGTATCCGCACTAGTAATTTAATTCCATGACAACCTTAAGAACTAGATAGGTTGATAAATTTAGACAACATAACTATCTGCAACCTATGTTTGATTTAATTTAATATTTTTTCTAAGATTAAAAATATAGATCTATCATAATTATTAAACTTAGTCACGTCATAAGTTCAAATATCACAACTCTAATTTGGATAGCAAGCTTAGCAGTGGATTGATTTAGAATAATAATTTAGAGTCTCCTCTAACAATTAAAACTAAACAATCATAGAAAATAGAAAATAAGTATAGAAAAACATTTATAGTCACCATATAAACTAAAAAGAAAAGATAGAATAGATATCACAATTTTTTAAATTCAAATGTTTTTGTATCCTTTCAATCAAGAAAAATAATTTAGCCTTCCATGTGTATTGAAAAACTAATGATTAGATGAGAATATAATTTCAGGTAGAAGAGAAAATGGTGGAGTTTTCTTCTTTTTTCTGGCAACCTCCTCCTCTTCTTTTCTCTTTTTTTTTTTTATTTGATATGAAACTCTAATCATATTCTCCTAAAAAATATAAAAACAATTCTTTCCAAAGTAAACAATCTACATTTAAGTAAGGTGGACTTGTTTCTTCACAAAACATGTTTGTTGATAAAATTTATAGGTTGTTTTTAAAAAATCATATCTCTCTCTTATAAGATATTTGTTTGCTAAAATTTGGTAGGATGATAGGTTTTTGAGTCAGAAATTCAAAATAATTGAGTTTGCATCAAATCAACTTCTGTAACTTAAAATATTAAAGTCGGAATGACCGAAGGTCAAAACTAGCACTTGTCTTTGAAGACTACGATTTTCATCCATTTTTTTTATCCTTGCCATATATGTATAGAAAGCTATGAATGTTAGCTTTCTAGTTCCACTAAAATTACTTAATTTTAATTTCTACAATGCAAGTTTTGTATACAACATCAATAAAAAATCAAATCTGTCAATATTTAATACAGAACATGGTTCAAATTTTTTTTCAATTTACTATTTTTTGAATATCATATCTAAACATACCTTCAAAATATTAAATAAAAATTATTAAGGTATATTATATAAAAAACATAAATAAAATACTAAATAAATATAAGTAAAATTAGCGAGCAATATAGTGATATTATTGAAATAATTTTACACGGTATAATTGTAGTGTTTGATGGAGCAAGTGTTTTTATCATTCGTCATATTAGGAAACCTGGTAACAAGGCAGCGACTATTGTGTTTACATGCGTTGTTGAACATACGTGTAGCTTCATGATTTACATCTGTTGCTCGTTTGCTTGATGCCTGTGTTCCAGAGGGTAGCAGTGCATGATGTACGTGACCAACGTTGTCCTCAAGGATGTTCTATTCGATTCGATTCATAGTAATGAAGATTTTCCTATTGTATTTTCGCAGAAAATGCTAGCAGAACTTGAATAAAAGAGGCTCTTCTCATTGCTGGTAAAATCGTGAGCTTGTAAAATTATATAATTTTATGAGTTAATATATATATAATATGCAAAATTATATTAAACTTGAAACTAGTAAATTAGAATTTAACTTGTGTAGAATCGGTAAACTAAGTTCAACTTTACAAGTTTATTAAATTTCTAATCTTAACCAAATCAAGTTCAAATTTGATCTTAAAATGTTTGCTGATTGGTTTTGTGAAATTGAACATACCTTTCACACCGTACATTAGATAGTGCTAAAATTTTACAGGGAACTATTAGACAAATGAAAATATATTGTGGTAAATGTTCAAGTTAAATGGAGTTCATAAACATAATATTATAAAGGGTCAAAGTTAGTAGACGAATCTTATCAAATATATCAAACTAGATCTTTATGTATTGTTTGGAATATATCTAAAGCTATCAATAGAATTTACTACGATTAAAGTTGGACTGGAAACTAGATATTTAAAGATTTCCAATCATATATTAATGCCTTGTAATTCATCTAAATGAAAAAGAACGACATATTTGAAATCATAACTCAAATCCATCAAGATACATACAAAAATTGAAGATTCAAGTTACGTAAAAAAAATTTAACATGGAGACTTTTTTTAATTATTCTATTTTATTTAATTAATTAATTTTGAATAATTATTTTTAGTTTGAATTTTTTCTAGCACATTAAATATTATTTAATAATTTATTACATTATTGAATTTATGTTAGTTAATTATTAGTTTAAACTCATTGAGTTACAACACAAAAAGAGTATTAAGACTTATTGCAACGAGAACAACCAAATTGTCATCAAGCCCATGTGTACTTCTTGTCATTCAATAATTTCCCTATATTGATGAATACTTTGTATTCTAAGAAAAATAATAATATTTAAAACATAAATTATAATAATTTTATATTAATACCTAGAATTGTTAAATATTTTTAATAATACTAGTTGCGAGTTAACTTTTTATTTTAAAAAAAAAACACCATAAAAATTTATAATATAAGTAATAATATGTTTTCAATATTAATAGTAATATTTTTTTTAAATTTATTAATTATTTTATTAATAATATCAATTACAATAAAAATAATAATATTCCTAAAACAACTAATAATATTTAAAATTAGATCTTTATGTACAAACCACTAATCTTGGATCGTGATACCAGACCCATTCCTCTTAGATTCAGCAACTTGATCCAAACACCAAATGTGCCCAAACACAGCACCAAAATGGACATGCCTAGCACAACCCAAGCAGCATTATGTATGCGCTTGGTCTGCCAGATCATAGATAGACAAATCAGGCACCATATGTGCGCTATAGATGCCCAACCCCTAAATAAGAGCCCAAGCACCACATGGATGCAACCTCAGGAGGCACATCTCTAGCCTAGCGTTCTCTAGCCTAGCGTTTAGTACCTATTGACTGTAGTCTCGCACTTGGCCCTATTAAATAGTACAATCCACAGTAAATTCACTCACAACATATAATACCTGTGATATAATGCAAATCAATGCAGTCTAAAATAAATTCACTTATAGTATACAATAGCCCACGCTACACTTAAACATTCATCAATTTTAGTTATAGTTAAGGTAATACATGACTGTCCACCAATAAACAAATCAGGTGAATACCACTACCAGTAAATGCGCATCAAGCTTGTTGGCACACAAAACCAGCGTCTTGTTTTGACAACATAGATATGACAGCTAAAAAAGGAGTTTATTTGACATGTTTGAATGATGCCTCACATGTAACCGCCATTTTTTCACAGTGATAAATCCAATTACATTCTACCTAAAATTTATACAATGTTACAGGAAAATGGTGCAGCATCTTGTGCAGGATTAATGACATACACGAATAGAACGGATAATGGATGCTGCCTCCCATGCACATACGAAAAGAAAAGAAATTTCTAAGACTCAATAAGTTGGTGATTTGTAATACTCCTGAGCAAAAGCCAGGAGAAAGACAACATATAGAGCAGTGAAACATGTTCTTAAAATGAAATTTAAGGATCCTCGTTAAATTCAGGCAATCATCAGGGCAGCCAGCATACAAGTTGACATCAGATTTCATCATCCAATGCCATGGAGATTAGCGACGGACAGATCGATATTTTGGTCTTGATGGTTTCTGTAAGACAGAAGCAAAAGGAACGTGAAATTGAGATTTAGTAGATAGACAGTGGAAACATAGAGATTAAGTGGGTGACATTAGACATTATTGCTTCAAAAATAACAATGACTGAGGGATTTTAAAATCCCATGTTTGTTGCTCTTGCAGCCATTCTAAAATAAGAACAATGTCTAAATGAGGATTGAGAACACATAATGGATATTGGTACCAAATTAACTGAATTTGTTCCATAACAATAATAATAAAGCTTCAGAAGGAAAAAATATACTCACAGATGTAGGTCCAAAGCTAGCGCCAGATCCTGCCCCCGTACCTAGCAGGAAAATTAAAGAATTTTTTCAGAAACAACTCTTTGGTCACTGAAATTTAAGCTCTTTTGTTTATCTTGGCAATGATTTGCACATACTGTAGAAACCATTTATGAAATAATAGAGGTTGCACAAACTTTAACTTCCTTCAAGTTATTAAGTACGTTGTGCAACAATCCACCTTTGGATGTTTTAACGATCCAGTTGAACACAAACTAGAAAAGAAGGTATCCGAAAGTGGTATTGAAAATAGCGAACCTCCAGCAGAAATAGTACCGAAAGCTGGAGCGGTACTGCCAAACAAAGAGGGAGTTGAAGCAGAGCCAAGAGCTGGTGCTGATGAAGAAGCGCCAAAAGCTTGAGCAGCACTGCCAAATAAAGAGGGAGTTGCAGCTGACCCAAACAAATTGGATGCTGGAGCAGAGGTTGTCGGTGTTGCGAACAAAGAAGATGACATGGAGGAAGACGGCACAGAAGGTGTGTTAAAAAGAGAGAGAGCATTTCCTGAAGATGCTGGCGCTGGTGCTGTTGCTGTAGATGTCTGGGGAGTAGTTGATGCTGAAGAAGTTGCTGAGCTTGCAAACAAACCAGCACCTTGTGTGGAAGGCTGTGAATTTGCAGGCAAATGCAAAGTTGGATGTGCCCTTTTAGCAGCAGCTTCTTTTCTTGCTCTTTCACGTCGATCAGCCTCAAGGAATGGATCATTCCCATCCCCTCGACGACGCTGGTCAACAAGATAGGCTGTTTTCATGGATTCGATGTACTGATGAATGCTCTCCACCTGAAGGACATTAAAAGAAATAATTGAAATATGTTCTAACCTTTAGCGCGCGCACATGCTTCCGCTTTTAAGGAAAGCCTTGAATCAAATCTGAACCTTGACTGTCAGAATTCTTACATAAGCAATATATGCACCTGTATCGTCACTAAACTAGCATGGTATAGTTTTCATGTGCATGTATCATGGATTGAAATACTATAATACTTCAATTAGGAAAAAAATAATAAAAAGGGAGCATCCCATATTTGTGAAAACTTTTAACTGAATTCGAATAAAAATAAATAAATCATAAACCCAACTGTTGGCTGTCAGATAAGAATATATTTTCATGGGTCCATCCTCGTTAACATGGAAATGAGAGAATTCTCAGATCACATGTTCATCCACCTAGAAATATACTATATGTAGAAAAATATGGGCTGTCATAAGATATTCTAGCACAAGGCAATGACATATAACAAGATATTGAGGGTTTGCATATCTGTCTGTATTTACCTTAGCAGCCACGTGAACAAAAAAATCATGCACATTTGACATGACTTTTGGCAGAGACTGCAATAATGAGGATCCAGGGTGGGAAGAGTTCCTCTCAGAATCTAAGAGGAGCAGCTGCTCTAATTCTTCAATCCACTGGCTGCATTCACCCAAATACTTTTCAAACCTAGCAACTGTCTGCTGTAAAAATGGGGATGGTTTCTTCGGAAGGCCACTGTAAAAATCAAACACTGGAACTATAGAGGAAGATGTTGGCTGACTAGTGGAACCAGGTATTCCTGTTGTTCCAGGAGACTGGGATGGTGCTGTGGCATTTGAAGCACCAACTCCTGCATTAGAATGAAGGAATCTAGGATGTAGGATCATGAAAGAACGAACAGCCATCTCTGTGTTCCGTAACATGTCTTTAACATTAGTCATAAGTTCTTGTAAAAGAGCTTTCTGTCTCTCCATGGAAGTACTGATTCCCCCAAGTTCCTGCAAATATGCCTTAAAGTATTCATTATCATCCCATGAGCAAAACTAAAGATAAAGGAAGTCACAATATTAGCTACAAAAGGTGACTAACTAGCAAACATGACTGGATATAGGAAAATCTTTCATTCCTGAAGAAAAAAAATATTGAAAATAAGGAGACTAAATCTTTATCTTGTGGTCACATATTATGCATTAGTAGCCTAAAACTTTATGTTCTCCCTGAATACTCCAACAATTAACATTTCCATAAATATTTCAACCCCAGACAGCACATTCAAGTTCATACAACATATCTGTTTAAAAAGATGCAACATACATGTCGTAGAGAATCATCCGAGAGATGGACTGGACAAACCATTCTCTGCCACTAGCAGACTATAATTTCTAAATTACTAAACCTCATAAGTGGTTTGAGTTACATTAGGAAAATAGCATGCTGTCAGGCATCAACCAGGTTTCTGCCCATGTAACTCTATAGGAAGCTACAAATCCCCATCAATGTGTAATTCAAATAACATCAGTAAAGTAACTTAAAGAAAGATTTTTACACACACAAACAATGCCATTCACTTATTTTGATGCACCAAACAACAATAATTGGCAACACAAATACAGAAGTGAACAACCTGAATAATTTGGCTCGCATCAAGCTCAAATCCTTCATTGGAAACTGAAGAGTCATAAAGGCGATTGCACTGATCTAGCCTCTTACTCTCATCCCTATACTCCAATATTCGTTCCCTGCAATAAAAAAATGCACTTGAGCACCTCAAAAACCACATAGTTCAACCCAAAGAACCATCAAAATAATTCAACTGCATAATCCTCAATTTAACCCTTTGTGGGTCAGTATTGAAACATGAATCTTTTTGAAGGTCCAAATTCAGATATTGTTCAGCAACTAAACAAAGCCCAACTCCCTTTATTGCTAATTATAGGATAACTAAACCAAACTGTCAAACCTTAAGCACTTCTTACCTCAACAAAACATTGAAATCAAAGAACTTCTACTTTCATCAAACCTAGCAAAGCATATATATATATATATCTTATTTTCTGGCAACAGATTAAACAAAATAAACAGAACACATACTTCGAAAGGCCCTACAATGTATGTATACTTTTTAGGCAATTATAAATCTAAGTAGCCAAAAAATATATTTTTCAATGCTATTTCTTTCTCTTTTTTTCTTTTCTTTTGTTTTCACATTTTCTCGGCAACCAAAAACCCAAACATAAAACTCAGAATTAACAAATAAAACATACTCAATCTGAAGCAAAGTTTTCTGGGAATCTGGGTGAAGATCTTCCCATTTAGTACTATAACTTGCAGGAGCCTTGTCATTAGTAAAAAGATACAATTGCTGCTGTTGATGCTGTTGAAATTGTTGTTGTTGCTGCTGTTGCTGAAACTGCTGCTGCTGTTGCTGAAACTGCTGCTGTTGCTGAAACTGCTGCTGTGGCTGTTGTTGTTGCTGCTGCTGTGGAAAAAGAGGGCTGCTTTGTTGAAAAGGCTGAGGCTGAGGCTGAAACAGAGATGGGGTTTGCTGTGGTGGAGTTGAAAAAGAAAATGCCATCTGGGTTTTTTATTTTGATGTCAAAGTTTGTGTCTTTGATTGTGATTTTGTTGTATTCTTGGTATTAGAAAGGTTTTTGGTGAAAAACCCTAATTTGAAAACCCTGGAGAGGGAAATTGGGGGAAAGAAAATCGTGAGAAAGACCCGCCTTTGTTTGGGAAATTTATTTAAAAGGAGTGGTGCTAGTGGGTATTTGCTCAAGAGGGTAATTTTTAGAAAATATTTTCAGTTTAAGTAGTTTTCTATTAGATTTTTGCTAAAAATATATTTCTCTGTTTTAAAGTGGAGTTGAAACTGTATTTTATTTTAATTATAATTTTATAAATATATATATATATATATATAATTTTATATGGGTTTCATTGAAAATTCTCAATTGAAATATTGATTAAAAAATATAATTTTTAATTTTTAAAACTTATTATTGTGATGAGAAAAAACTATAATTTTTAATTTTTTTAAAATATTTATTTTTTAAACTGCAATTGAAAAAACTATATAGAATATTTTTAATTAAAAATATATAAAAATAATATTTTTTTTATTTTTAATATTAGTATATCAAAATCATCTAATAATATCTAAAAATATATTAATTTAATATTTTTAAATAAAAATATTTTAAAACATAAATTATAATGTAAAAAGGATTAAGGCTCATTTTGGGCTTGTGACTTAGTTCTTGTGTCTTCTATCAAAGTAAATGACGAGGCTAATATTTTAAAGAAAAAAGAGAGAAAATGAATGAGAAATTAAAAATAAGAGATAAAGAAAGCATAAATCCCAAAATTATCTCTTATAATTTATTATTCTACCCTTTCATGGTTAATATTTAATTTTAATTCTCAATCTTTTAAAACTTCCCAATCAAACTCTTAATTGGTCTTAATTCTTGAAAAAAATTTTAATTATGACATTTTACACTTTGAATCTTTGGTTTTATAATTCCTAATTTTGTTCTTAATCAACACTTCAAACTTTTAATTCTTGCAATTTCACTTCTAATTAAATCAATTAGACTCTTGTAATGTTGGCACCCTTTCATCTTGGTCCCTAAACTTTTAATTCTTGCAATTTTGATTCTAATTAGCTTCTAAACTTTGATTTTCTTTAATTAAATCCCTAATTACACTGTAATTAAGTCATACTAAAGTTAATTGATTCTCCAACTCCAATTTTGATAAAATTGAATTCCAAACTTGATTTTTATTTCAATTACACCCTTGATTAAGCCAATTAAATATATCAAATGTTCAATTAAGTCTCTAAACTTCCAAGTTGTATAGATTCATTATGATCTTCAATGTTTTTCTACAACTAAGCCCTAATCTTCAATGTTCTTCTTTAGTTAGGCCATTTATTAGTATAAATGAAGTCCTAAACTTCTGCATTTTGTCCTGTTTAGTTCTATAACTTCTATTTTGTGTAATTAAATCTAATTTAGTCTATTTTCTTTAGCATGACCCTAAATTATTTGTTCACCAAGTGTTTTGATCAAGTGTGACTTAAAAGCCTATTTTTTCATGACCCAATATATATAGCATTGTAACACCCAATATATATATATATATATATGAATTTTTATAAGATTTTTAAATATTTCTTTTAAAAAATACTTTATATATGAAAAAAATTTTGGGAGCCGAAATTGAGTTGTGATAATTCTAATAAGAAATTTTTTAGGAGCCGAAATTGAGTTGTGATAATTCTAACAATATTGTAATAGAAAACTTAAAAAACCATAGCAAGAAAAAAGATTACTTTCAATGGCAAACGCATGAAGAAAATACCTAAACAAGGATAACCTGAAAGAAGTAAACAAAGCTTGCATCCCTACTCATTCAAACAAATCGCAAGTAATAAACCAAATGCAATAGAGAACTTAAACAAACTTGAGTAAAAAAGAAAATAGTTTAAGTTGGTTGTTGTATGTGTATAACGTTACGACAATCATCTTTGTAGATCTTGAATGGTTAGGAATGCTATTGTTGGAAAGAACAAAGAATTCTTGTCCTTTATTATTAGAAATCCTAACTAGTCCTAGAGTTTGAGACTAATTGTATAAATAAAAGATATTAGCACCTCTAATATATCTTACACGGGATAAGTTGTATTATTTATATGTATGATATAAACTAAGATATTGTTATGTTTTCTAATCATTAGTTTGTCCAAATTTGAAGAAAAATTCTCATCAATAAGGATAGCCTTACCTTTTCAGGTTAAGAACTTAACCATTGTAATGCCAAAACAAAAATAAAAGAAACTATCTTTTTATTTAATATCATAAATATATTTTATGTATAAGTTCATAATTCCGGATACTAATAGAAAACAAAATAATTTTTTTGGTATTTTTTAAATATAGACCCAATTCTCATGGTTTTAATAAACTGATTATTAAATCTAAAAATACATACAAATACATATATTTTTTATTAATTTTTGTATGGAAATACAATATAATTTTTTATATTTTTGAGAGATTTAGTTGTATGTACACCTATAAAACATATTTTTTGTATTTTAAAAAAATGAGAATTTTTAGAGAATGTTTTTTGAAATTTCAGCGAAAAACGAGTTCTTTAATATTGGGTCAGTATCTTACAGTATAAATCCACAACCCCTATATGAAGTGAAAAAATTAAAAAAAAAAAACATACAAAGGGCCTACAAATAAATTCAAAATGGACCATAATTTGTTTTGGAATTTTTTTAGGTTTTTTAAGGGCCTGTTTGGTGGGATTTTAGGATAAAGGCAAGTTTAAAACTAAAGAAAAGATATAAGGTGTGTTTGCCAAACACACCTTTAGCCTAGGGGTTGGGTTGACTAGGCCTAAAGCCCAAACTCGACTCAGTTGGTTGGGCTGATCAAAGGCTTATTAAAACTTTTTTTTAATGAAAATGTAAGGCTAAACCTAATCCAACTGCTTGGGTCAAGCTGAAGGTATTGCACAAAACCATATACCTGATTACTAGGTTGAACCTAGTAACTAAGTTAGTTATTTGGCTAGCTCTTGAACATGAATTAATTCACATTCTTCATGCATGTGAGGCAAAGAAAAAGACGTATAGAAAGGAGAAGAAGGTTACCTAGAATGAAAAGTCATTAGTCATTAATACTAGTGGTGGCTCATGGTGGTGTTGCCTATAATGACAATTAAGAGAAAGAGTCGTCGTTGCTAGTGAAAGTAAACTAATATCGGTGGTCATTGAGGGGTATTTGATATAGCCAAAACAATAAAGAAGAGAGGTTGGTTTTATAGTTGAAGGGGGCATTCTTTTTCTTTAGGCAAAGCCAAAGCGTTCTCTTTGCCCTTTTCTTTTCTATTCCTCTCTTTTTTTTTCTCTTTGTCTTTTTCTTTTTTCTTTTTATTTGTTCATCCTTTTTTTCACCTCTTGATGAAGTGGTATTTATAGGGGCAAGGAAAAGTTGGACCACTCTATTCTTGTCCAAACATAGGCCAAAGAATAGGGTGGCTTGGCAGCCACTTTGCAGCTGCTCTAAAGGCGTCCAAAAAACCTGTTTCTCTACTCATTTCGGGCATAATAGCAGGTGATGAGAGGGACATGTGTTGTGTCATGGTGTGAGGGGACGTGGAGAGGAGAGAGAATGACCTAAAAATAGTGTAAATAAGGGGGGAAATCCTCCTTTGATGTAATTTATGCTAATGTGTGTTAAGAGGGGGGAAATCCTCATTTGACGTATTTTATGCTAATGTGTGTTAATTTAATTTCATACAATGTTAGGGTTTTGAACTAGATATTAGGTTAATAAGATATAATTGATTTCTTACAATGTTAGGGTTTTAAACTAGATATTAGGTTAATAAGATATAATTTGAGTTGATAATTAGGTTATTTTGTAAAATAATCAATGGTTTTGGGTCATTGTTGATTGTGAATTAATAAAATAATAATATTAGCATATATGAATTTTATCACTAATTTTGTTATGGTAATGAAATTTTATGAATGCAAGTGTTCACGAATTAATTTGATGAATTTAGGTTTTAGCTGATTATATTATCATTATAATTCTGTTCTACTTGAATGCACTTTAATTAACCCTAAAATATTAATAAATTAGAATTGTGTTTTTTTATATTGTTTGATAAAATGTTTGGTAGTTTAGGAATATTATGTGTCCATGACGGTATCACTATTAATATCGACATTGATAACCCTTATAATGAAGAAAGCTATAAATTTCTAACTGTAACATTAGACATATCCCTTAACAAGTTATCTAGAATATTATGTGATTAACTTGGCTAAAATATGTTTGAAATAGAATATGAAATTACTTGGAAGATGTTGCAAATCGAGGTCAATCAAACTCGTTATGTTGGTGTACCAATACATGAGAATATGAATTCAATGTTTGGATTTATAAGGATTAATGAGATTAATATGCTAGAGCTCTACTTGAATAGTAGACCTAGATAAAGAAACTTTTTTAGTATAGTGTTGACTCACGTTCTAAGTAACTTTTAGAGAACCACACAATCATCGCGAGTAGCTGATCCATCTAGGTTCGGTGATAATGCAAGGAAACAAATATTGGTGCATGAAATTGTTAATATGGAACCTTAATTGAGTATGACATCTTCTTTCTATTGTTATGGATAATTTGAACTAAGTGATGATGAAGATGACCGTGACACTAATAGAATTAAGGTTGAGGGGAAAGATAAAGAAGATGAGGATGCTAAGTTAGTTGATCTTATTATGCAATACATGACTCATACTCCTGAGTTTGAGGTTGTGAATGCGTACAACCAATACAAATGCAGTGATTGGGATAATAGTTACAGACATTCAAATTTATTAGTTGATGAATTGGTGGTTAGAAAAAAAAATATGAGACAAGTTTGAATGTATCAATAAAGTAAAACGGTGTCATATAAAGAATTTATTTTAGTACTAAGTTTATCATTCAACTAAAACTTATGTTAAGTTTTAATGTGTTTAGAAACTAGTTTTTAAATGGTATTTGCATAAGGGATATCACTATAGGTATAATTTATGGGAAATTTTAAAATTGAAAAGGCCACACACATACAATAACCCTTTTATTTTGCATCATTGTCACATTGACTTAGATTTAATTGCTAAGGTGATGTTGATAATTGTGATGAGGGATTTAAGTACGAGTG